CCAACCCTCAACCCTCACCCCTGTAGGCCTATTCGCTATAGCGTCTGTTAGGTATATGTGGCATAAATGTACAGTTCCATAACATAATGTAATAGCAGGGAACGGCTCCATGATAATAGCAGTAATAATAATAAATATAACACATGTATAACACTGACCTTGTTCTTAATATTGACGACAATAATATAAAAGCAAAAGTTTGTACAAAGCAAGGATATGACAGTATTCCTCAGAATTTTGTAACGCCGTGATTTTCTCAACTCTCTGAAAAAGTTTTTAAAAAATCAATTAATTTCATTGCATAATGTTGTAGGGTAAACGTAATAGGGCCTACTTAAAGAAGTAACGGTAATGCTTTGAACACGAGGCATAACATTTACCGTGGTGTTCAGTGATACATTTTTTCTTTCATAACAATAATAATAATAATAATAATAATAATAATAATAATAATTAATAATAATAATAATAATATAAAAATTTATACGACCGAGGTGCATTATCATTTTTGAGATTATTATTACTTGAACTTAATTGAGGTGCCTCTGGGTGGACAAGGTACTTCCTGTACATTCCAACATCGTCTTAAGTTCAAATCCTTTTTTTTTACGGCAGCTATTGTTTATAATACACTCCACTCCCTAACTTATGAGTTTTTCTTTCTCTTTCGTGGGAATTTCACCCACCTTTATTTCTTACTCTTCTTTGTTACTTTTTAAATTTTTTTTCCGCCATCAAAGACATAAAAAAGATAAAAATTAAAAGAACTTACTTGCACTTTAAAGGGGTCAGTCCACAATGACTGACTGTAATTTTTAAAACATATCTTTTAACTTGTGTTATATGCATACACACATACACACACATACATACACATACACACACACACATACATACACATACACACACACATACATACACATACACACACACACACCCATTGTCATATACATGCACATACATATTTTTTTTTCTTAATTTCGTGGGAATTACACCCTTTGCTTTTTGTTGTCTTAAGTATTATTTAAAATCGTTCTCTTATGTACAAAAAACGTAACGTATCATACTGATAATATCACTGATACTACTACTGCTAATAATAATGATAATTATTAGGCCTAATACCATTGTTATCTGATCAGTAATAAAAATAATAATAATCTTTATAATAACTCAAGTCAACTTATGAGTCACGGGTGTTAGATTTTGAGATTGTAAAGCATCACATTTACTTCATTTATCACCAGGACTACATGAATGTCAGTCGATTTAAAAAAAAAAACCAAAAAAAAACTTTATAAATATGTTTTTGAAAAGTAAAAAATAGTGTTTCTCAAACCTTAGGCCAGATATTATACCGAGGGTAAAGAGCAGGAATGCTGTTGACACAGATAATCCTACGTACGTAATTACTTCCAAGCCGACTTTATCTGCCTCTTTCTGTACATCTTCCTGAAAAGTGTTAGTGTGTATAAAATTAGACTATTTCCTGCCGGCGTAATATTAAACAAGTATCACTGTCATTTACTTATATCATTTGAGTTATTGTAAACAATACATACTTAAATTATTATCAGTAGCATAGTAATAATCGTCACAAGACGAAATGGCCATATCAAAGGTAGGAGTCGAGTAGTGTTACTGTCATTTTTGGTATACACACCATAGGCCTGTAAGTAGCGCATAATGGTGGCATAATACATCTACTGTCATATTGGCCTATATTTTTCATGCAATTTTTTTATGACGTCATTCATAAAAAAAAATAACAATGCTATATCATGAGATCATAATAAAATAGCAGTACGTATATTTTGACTTGGTTTTAAATTATGAATTCTACAATCAAGGTAGCATGATTTTATAATTTGAAACTAACCAATAAGGACACTTTTAATATTAGGATATAGGCCTAAGTGTGAAGCCTGAGGCTTGTGTGTTTCAGAAATAATGAGGTAAGATAGTGTTCATTAGTTAGATTAAAATTTAGTAACTTAGTTGAGTTGAAAATGTAATGAACAATATTAATAATTACCTTTCTGGTTTGCATTAGGATTGCAAAGGAAGTTAAGTGATTGCTCAAGCAAGTTACGCCCTGCGTAACATCATCATGTCTTGTATCACAGCCTTCAGTCGACCATTGCCTGAAATGTAAATTACCGTATTATAACCCTCGCCCCCCAAAGGGTGGAAGAGGGTATTGCAATTAGCTCCGTCTGTCAGTGTGTCTGTGTGTCTGTCTGTTGTGTTTGTCCTCCGGGAGCATAACTCAAAAACTACTGGTCGGATTAACCCCAAACTTTCACACATTGACAATATTCCATGTCTTGGTCCTCCCAGAATTTGGTGCTCTTCAGAAGTAAGATATATATTTGAGAACGTTTAGTTAGGAAAGGCTGACTATAGCGGACCGACCATGTATCAAATTCTGGCCGGCGGACTGGAAGCAGCCCGGACTTGTAAGCCTGACTGATGGGCTTGCCACTTGAGGCCTATGATAGGCCTCATTTGGCGGATGGATTGAAGAAGTAAGATGCAGATTTTAGAATGTTTTTTATATTTTCCGGTCGTATATCTCACAATCTGCTGCCCCAATTAAAATAATAATAATAATAATAATAATAATTGTGAAAAATAATAAGATATGCAAAAAAGTATTCTATAAATGCACAAATAATAAAAATAACAAAACAAAATAAAATAAGAATAATTTGAACCACATACGTTAAATTAACTTTACACTTAATACGTGCACCATTACCGTTCGGCTACATTTTACCTAATTATTACACTCCTATAAGACAACAACAACCAGCGGATCGACCGCATCGACTATATGCAAAGATATGGCGCAACAGGACGAGGGTTTGTAATCTCAGATTATCTTGTTATTGTATTATTTACATTACTGTATAATTATCACCCTCATTTCCTTCATCATCACCATCGTTCTACGAGACAAGTATGGTCTAACTTACGGTGGGGATGATG